TTGCCGCGCTGGTCGCGGATTCGAGCTGCGAAACTGAACTCACCGTCATTGGGTCTGGCGTGTACTGCCCGCCCGAAATTGCGAAATACTGGGGCTACCGCAAGCGTTGCCCGTATTCATACGCCTCCGACGTGTGGAGCACCGCAGCGGTGTTTTATTTGTTCCTCACATGCGGTGCTGCGGGTGTGGACGATGGCATGGCCGCCGTCTTCTCAACCGACGCTTCACCGTCTGCCGACGTTGCAGTGACGGCCCAGTTCCGTGTGGCGCGCGGAGAGTACCCGACGCTGGCGGTGCTGAAGCAGGTTCCTCTCTTGGACGACGAAGCCCTCCGTCTTGCCATGGAGAAGCTTGCGGCACGGCGTGCTGGCCACACTGCCGGAGGTGGTGCCGATGGGGAGCCTGAGGGAGTTGACTACACGCGGTACACGACCGTGGACGGCGAGGGCACACAAGCTTGTCCGTGTAAGGACACAGGTGTGTGGCCCGCCTGGGTCTTTTCTCCGGGCATCCAACTGATGGCAAGGCGCCTGCGTGTGAGGGAGCTCTCGTTGGAGTTCCTGAGCCTCATTGATTCCATGATGGCGGTGAACCCTGCGGATCGTCCGACGGCGGAAGCCGTGCTGCTGGACTCGCCCGTGTTTGGAATGCGGATGCCGTGGTGGGAGAAGGTGGTGGAGAAGGCCGTGCGGCGCGTTGTGGAGGGCAAAGAGAATGTGCTGCTGGATGTGTGCGTCGGTGATAGCGACGAGGAAGAGGAGGAGGACGAGGAGGAGGCCGCACTTGTACGGCGCACCATGATGCCTCTTGTTTTGCCCGCGGAGAACCACGGCTACGTTCCACACAACGTAATCCATTGGTGGAACGTGGACCTCACAAGAGGCGAGCCAGATCACACGAAGTGGCTTTCGCCCACCTCGCTTCTCGCTTCTCTCCTTACAACGGTTCGGGATCTGACCGGGCTTGAGGCAGCGCGTGATGCACAGGACCCCGTTCTTCGAGAGGTGCCGTTGTACACCGCCACTTCGCTGCAGTTTGTTGAGCGTGTGTGCGTGCCCGTTCGCGGTACCGATGTTTCAGCCAGGAAAATTGAGGACGGGCCCCTTTTCCGGGAGCTTGAGGCTGGCGGCCACAGCACTGGCTTCTTTATTCATGTGCAGATAAGGATACGTGCCATCGCTAGGGCCGGGCAGGTACTGATGGCGAACGGCTGGGCCGAGGAGGAGGATGTGGCGGACCAGGAGGAAATGGCTAGGCGTGCCATGGAGGAGTTGGTAGCCACGACGGAGAAGTGGCTTCTCAGCCGCGAGGCGACCACCGGCGTGGCGGCTCTCCACGTGTTGCCATGGGTGAGTTGGCACCTCAACGAGGAGGAGGCCGGCACGGACGGAAGCACGCAGCACTGCTTCATTGTGGAGTACGCAGCTGCAGGGCCCGGAGACGGGCAGCCGCAGCCGTGTGCCAATGAAAGCAGTGTTACGGGGGAGGTCTCTAGCGTTTTTCGCGACTGGCGAGCCAACTTGACGGATGGCCTGCAGAGACTGTGTTGCGACGACGCCACTGCCCCTGACGAGACGACGCATGACGGAGCGTCCAATGCTCCACGCGGCGGCCTCAGGTTGGAGGAAAAACTTGAGGCGATGCTGGATGCTCTTGAGGCCGTAGAGTCGGAGCTGATGGAGAGACAGAAACGGAACGAGGCGCACCAGGGACTACTTCAAGACCACGTGGTTCACTGGCTCAGCGTGAGAGCTGCGCCCTCCGTGGAGAGGTGCATGGAGACTCTTCAGGGCGTGTGTGGCGGCGGAGACGTGTCCTCACAACAGATACACGAGTGGATATTGACCACTGTCTTCACAAGCGAGGGTGCGATGGCCTTGATGCCGGTTCTACGCATCTAACGTCAGGCGGATCCTCTCCCCTGAGAGTACTCGATGCCTTTTCATTGATGGTTAGGGGGCTTGTTTGTTTTTCATTGTTACTTGTGTTTTATTTTTTTGGTTTTTACTGTTTCACCTCTCCAGCCTTGTTTGGGTTTGGTTTGTATTGAGTGTGGACGCAATGGACACAGAAATTTTATTTTTACCAACAGCTGAGAGCGCGGGTCGTTGGATCCCTCACCATGTTCGAACGCCCCCACGCGTCATGCCGCAACCATTCCCTTTGTTGTTTCTATTCTTTGCTTGTCGCTAGAGTGATAGGGCTTAGTGTAGCCAATGATGGTGCTGGAGCGCCCTGGGCCCATCTTTGCGGCGCTGAGAAGGAGGCGGAGGTGTGGAGTGGAGTGTGCCACGATGAGCTCAGCTGGTGCTGGGTGCGGGCTTCAAACCCGTAGGCGAGTTGGACTCGCAGCCGTTCGATTCGGCCTTTGTGGTGTTTTTTTTTTTCGGCGAACTGCAGTCCGTCTTTTTTATTCTTTGTCCGTTGTGTTGTGCTGTAAGGCGTATGTATTTTTTATTTTTATTTTTTGTTGTGTTGCGCTGTTTTGTGTTTTTTTGCGATTTTTGTTTTTTGTATGTTTTTTTGTTTTTATTGTTAGAGGAGGAGTTATTTTTTGTTTGAGTTAGTGGAGACGACGGTGGTAGGGATGATTGTATTGAATGGAATTTCTGAGGAGCAAAAGAAACTTGCGGTGGTTGGGGTTGTTGCAGCCTTTTTTTCCTCTGCGGTTACCGCGGCGGTGGTGCGTGTGCTTTCGAGGCAGCCCTTGAAGGCTGTGGAGGAACCCCCACCTGTCGTAAAAGTGGCGACGGAGAAGAATAAATGTGCCAGCGAGGCCAGAGAGGAAAAGAAGGAAGGTAGTGGAATGTATAAAAGCGAGTTGTGCGCTCGTCAGTACATGGAATTCCATTACACCCCTTCTCGTACCAGCTATGCGCAACGACTTCGGACTATTAGCGAGAGTTTTGACTTCCCACAGAGGATTGCGCAGAAATTTAAGGACTTTTTTCCAGAGGCGAAGAATGAGCAGACACGTGCGTTGGAAATTGGGTGTGCTACGGGTGCCTCTGTATTGGAGATGAGCAAATATTTTGACAGCGTTATCGGTGTTGACTACTCGGAGATTTTCATTCATTTTGCGCAGGAAGTTTTGAGGGAGAATTCTGTGCCTCATGTTACTCGGGTATCATTTGGGGCGGTGGATCAGGGCGACATCGAAGTCACGCGACATGTGCGTCTTTCACACGGACTTTTTCCGAAGCGATGTCAGTTTTTTTGGGGTGATGCGATGAATCTTTTGGGAGGAGGAGGAGGCGCGAAGGCAAATTTGGTGGGAAGACATTCCAGTCGTTATGACGATGTTTCATGGTATCAGGTGCCTGCGGGAGAGCTCTTTGATGGGGTGCTTGTGTCCAACATCCTCTGCCGTGTGCAGGACCCACGCAAGCTGCTGGACACACTCCCCCGGCTGCTCCGCAAAGGCGGCATCCTTGTGCTTGCCTCCCCGTACTCGTGGAGTGATGGGATAACACCGAAGAGCAAATGGATTGGTGGGTTGCCTGACGGGCCGCGGTCGGAGGATGTTGTGAAGGAGATACTTATGAAAAATTTTGAACTTCTAAATGAGACAGATGAGGCGTTTTTGATTCGTGACCACGTACGTCGTTATCAGTTGGGGTTTTCGCACTGTACGGTGTGGCGGCGCAGCTGAGGCCGCAGTCGTCAACCTCTTGTGTCTTTGTGTGAACGTCCCCGAGGAGGAAGAAGGGAGCTGCCGGTAAAGGAAAGAAGGGATTCAAGCCATTGTGGAGACGCCAGTGGTCTCTTTCTTATTTATTTATTTCTTACACCTTTTTTTCTCTCTCTCTCTCTTTCTTCCTATATATATGTACATATGTGTTTCTGTGTTTTGTCGTATTTGACGCTTTTCCCCTTTTTTATTTTCATTCATTCATTCAATAACGCTTTTCTCCTTTTTTTTTTTTTTGATTGTCCACTTCTCTGTGCCGTACGGAACGAGAGGAGAGGAGAGGAGAGGAGAGGGTGGTGTTGTGGTGTGGTGTGGGGGGTTGGCAGAAGCGAGCGAATGGGACTTCAAGATGCAACCGTGGCGTGCGAGTTTTTGTCTCCGTTCTTGTGTGGAATGTTATTGGTGTTCGTACTTTATTATTATTATTATTATTATTGTCTTTATACGTGTAGACACATGTTTTTTTTTTTTTTTTTTCTGTACGGTTACTTTCCGGAAGAGCCAACGACACCGTGACATGCGTTGGGGACATGAATGGGTGCATACGGACACACAGAGAGAGAGAGAGAGAGAAGAGGGGGGTGGGGGGGGTGGGGGAAGATGTCTTGCAGAGGGGAATGATGATCTCTGCTTTTGTAGGAGAAATAACTTTTAAAATAGTGCAAAGAAAGAGGGGGGTAGATGTTCTGTTTACATTGTATGTATTTTATTTCTGTTTTTTTTTTTTTTTTTTTGAAAGTTATAAAAAATGAAAGAAGAATCAAATTTGACTGTTTATTTATTTAATTTATATGTTTACAAAGGGTGGGAAGAGGAGAGGAAAGGGAGAAGGGGGCACGATAATAAATAAATAAATAAATAAATAAATAAAGGGAATGAATTGTTTGTTTATTTGTTTTATTATTATTATTATTATTTATTTTTGTGGTATTCACGCCAATATTATTAATTATTAAACCTGTTATTATCTACATGTACATGTGTATGTGTATGTGTAGATATTTATATTTATTTCTATTTTCATATTTTGGTGGCCTCTTGTGACCGCGGCGGGCTTATCATTTGTGTTTCTACATTCTGGGACCCTATTATTTTGTTCTTGTTCTTTTCCCGCTTGACCGCTTTGCACCGGGATGGAGGGGTAGCATACACGCCAAAGGGGGGTAGTAGAAACAAGAGGGGAGAAAGAAGGAAAGAGACAAGAGAAAAAAGAAAAAAAAATAATTAAGGCCTGGCAGAGTGGTGAGAGGAGGAGAAGAAGGAGGTGAAATTGCCGTCATTGCTTGTAATTTACGAAACGGCTGCCGTCGGTATTTCTCTTCTATTTTTTTTTTTTGTTTCGCGGGGTTGCTCGTGTGCCTGTGTTCTTTGCTGCCGATGTCTTTGGGGCTGACACCGCGTCAGTGGCGGGCTCTCGCAACGGTGTACCACCTCTACGTCGCAAACAACAGAGCGGACGGCCGTACGACAGCGGGGCGTTTGGCGTTTGACGGCGTTTCGGCGGGTGATGTGAGTGGGGCGGGCAATAAAACGGATGACGGTGTTGGGCGCAGGGGAGGAGATGCCGCTGACAGGGAGGAGGAGAAGGCCGTGCAGTGGGTGGAGGGGGTCCTGCCACTCCTGCAGCGTGCCTTCCCGGAGGAGATGCTCGCAGGGGTGAAGCGGCGACAAGAGCCGGATGGCAGCGGCGCACGCAAGCGGCGGCGGGTGGAGCGATGGCAGCAACTCATTCCAGACGCGCTGGATGCCTTTCTCTCCGATGTGTTGTCGCCGCCCTTGTCGTCACGGAGTTTGACGCGCCCATCTTTGACGGCAAATGAGCGGACGCTCCTGCGGCTTCTTAATAAGGAGCAGCAGTTGGCGGATCGGTGCTACCAGCAGCATGTAGCGCTGCGGGACCGCGTGCTTCGTGAGGCTCAAACTCTCATACGTCTGGCCGCGGAAGGTACTAATGACGACGGAAATCGATTGTTGGGGAAAGAAACGGAAAAGAGTTGGGGCGACGACGGTGCTGAAAGACTCTTCACGGGCCACAAGGAGGGTTTGATGGATCGAGAGAGAAAAGGTGAGAGATTATGTGCGGTCACCACAGGGAGATCGCCGGTAAAAAGTGTGAGGACGACGGATTTACTGGAAAGCGAGGATGCCACTGGGGGGATTTTGTTGTCTCCAACCCCCGAAGCGCTTGGAACGGAAGTGAAATCTGTTTCTGCAGTCAAAAACATAACACCAATGAAGACTGTCACGATGAACGCGACAGCAACAAAATCATTGCCTGTGGCTGCAGTTATTGAATTGACGTGCGCAGGTTGTGGTGAACAGGGCGGGGAGCTTTTTCAGTGTCGGCACTGTAACTTGCTTCGTCACGAGGCGTGCGACGGGCCCAAGGCGGAATCTGACACGGGTTTCTGCGCCATTTGTTCTCATGAGTTGGGATTGTCCTTCAGCAGTGGCGGTCTGCGTTCCTCAACATCCACCGAGGAGCGTGAAGGGCTCGACGAGGATGACTCATCGAGTCTTTCCGGCTTTGTTGTGCACTCATCGGATCTCTCGGAAGATTCTTTGACGACATCTTTGTCTTCGTCATCATCGTCCTCGTCATCTTCACCTTCGGAAGTGGAAAGGGAGGAGAGAAGGGTCTTGCTTGCGAGGGCACAAGAGCGGAAAAAGCAACCAAAACAACAACAGCAGCAGCAGAGAAGGCAGAAGCAGCAGCGTTGTCGCTGACTGTTTCTTTTTTTCTTCTTTGTTTTACGCGCACACATGGTTAAAGGGACGGCTGCCGAATGAGAGGTCTCATTGGCACCTTGTGCTGCTGCGGAGGTCCATGAGAGAGGAGGGAGGGGAGACGTAGTTTCTGTTGTCAGGGCCACACCCACAGCTGTCTTCTTGCCGCTGGGGTATTTGGTTTTCTTTATTTATTTATTCCTTCCTCTGTTGCTGCTTTTGCTGCCGCTGTAAATTTGCGTATTTTTTTCCCTTTTTTTTCCCTTTTTTTTTTCTTTTTTGTAAAACTTAAAATATTTTTTTCTTCCCGGCGTTCATCAAAGTCATTACGTCTCCGCCTCTTTTTTTTTTTTTCTCTCTCTCTGTTCCTGCGTCTTTTGTCCTCATCCTTTTTTTTTTTTTTTTTGGTTGGCCGCCCCGTCGTCTGTCACGGGCGCATTTGACATCATTGCCTTTTTCCTCTGCCCCTTTTTTTCCCCTTTTTTTTATTTCGTGGGCCTCCGGTAAGTTACCCGCCGGCGGCTCATCGTGTGTGTGTGTGATGGGCCGCAGCAACAACCAACTCCGGCGCTCTGCGAAGGCGCACGGACGAGTCTTTGTTCCAAAGAAGCGTAAAAGTAAGACGTACAACCAGATGCGGGCAATGAAGATTCGCGCGGGGCAATCGCAGCCGCGGAAACTTGCCTACAAGAACGTCATCTCAAAGAAAGGCGGCGTCACGCGACGTAAGTTCCGCTCCGGCGGTTACAATAACAGCGGGAAGTTTGGAAAGGCGAAGGGGGCGAAGAGAAACGCTGAGAAACATAAGTGAGGGACTAAAAGAGATCTGCTGTTAGAGCGGAGAAGAAGGAGAAGAAAATGCAGAGACACAATGGCATGTATATGCATACACGTATACATGAAGTATTCGATTAACTCATTTCAACAATTTCACTCCTTCTCTTTTCCCCACCGTACAGAAATAACCGAAATGGAGGAATGCATCGTGTACCTCACCATACATGTGGGCATGGATGTATTGCATGATGACGAAGGCCGTTGTTGTCTCTTTCTGTTTCCTTCTGCAACGATGCTTCACTTCTTTTTTTTTTTGTTTCTTGTTGTGCCAGCGAAGCAGGAAAACAGGTGTGAAGAAGAGACAGGGGGGAAAAGGGGGAAAAAACATAATCCACGCACGATGCGTCGCTCACTTCTTTGCTTGTTTACATTGGCGGAGAGTCGATCGATGTTTCTTGACGCAATGGGTATGCCATTGCCATGCCCCACAGCGACACTTCCGGAGACACTTCAGGTGCTTGCGGAACATCATCATACCGATACGGCTTTGGTTCACGCTGCGTTGGCCCGGCTACTGTCATTGGACTCCACAGATGCGGATTCAGAGGTAATTGCCTCATTTAAACCACAAGGCACCAAACCCGTCACCGTTACGCATGCGACGAGCGAGAGTGGCGCTACAAATGATGTTGTCGGGCTTCCATCATCACCGTCGTCACATTTGATGCTGCAGCTGATGTTTTTGCATGCCAACGATACGGTTGTGCGTGAGCGCTGTTGCCGTTGCATCGCCAACATGTGTCAACTTTCATCGTCTTCCTTGACTCGTTGTGTAGTGGAGCCATCCGGCGTGAACTCGGATATGGACCAAGTGAAGCGTGATCATAGTGTCGCTGACGGGCTGGTTGAAGGGGGGGCGGTAGAGTTGGTGCTTGGAACACTCTCAATGGCCTCTCGTTTGAGTACAAAGGGAATTGTATGGTCGTCACTGGCTCTTCTTAATCTTGTCTGCCTCTCCTCTGAAGGGGTACAACGAGCAGCGAGGGCCAAGGGTGAGTCTTTAGTTGCAGATGCCATCGCAAGCATGGCGCATGAGGCCATCGCGGCAGGATCGCTCAGCGGTGAGAATTGTGTTGCAATGGACGCGATGTTAGGGGCTCTTGCGCGACTTCTCACAACCGAGGCGGATAGCAACATGACGGGTGTTCACTACCGTTTTGAACAGGCGGCGTACGGAACGGTGGAGGCGGTAGGATGGGCACTATTCTGCCTCTCAGAGTCGGCTATACGTGATATTCGAGGTTTCGAGGAAACGGAGGTGATGAATGGTGGAGGCAGCGGTGTTCGTCGCGGGGCCACATTATTTTTCCCTGCCGCAACGCCGTCGCAGCAGTCGGCTGTTTTGGCATTTTTACCCCCGTTACACAAGGCGTGGATGATACTGAAGAGCCTTAGTGGCTGCAGCAGGAACATGCCGATTGTGTACGAGGCGCTCCACATGCCAGGGGATGGGGGCGGGCTGAGGACTATGATTGACGCTGTCTTACTCTTCGGCGTGGAACTGGAAGGCCTTTCCGTCGTGGGGGCCATAGAAGAGGCCACGTTGCAGCAAAGCATGCTTCTACATGCAATGGAGGCTTTTGTGGATCTTTCTGCGACAAGAAAAGACTTGGGCCACCGCGCCTTGGCGGAAGCCGCCTCGTTGTCGGATGCCGTCGAAGGGAGTCACTCCCGGGGTGGGAAGGAGATGCCGGGTGATGGGGGTGAGATGGAGGGCATCTCCGCGGTCATTCCTACAGAGGCGGCACTGCACGTGACGGATACATTGGCTGCTGGCGTGGTAAGTAATATTGCGGTGTCTACCTTGGTGCGACTGCATACAGCGCAGAAGGAAGAGGAGGCGGCAATAGAGTATACTCAGGGTGGTGGAAAAAAGGCCAAGATACATGTGTACAATGGGGCTGTGTTTGATCTGCTTGCCAAATGTACGTTGACACTCGCAAACTTGGCCGGCCACGATATCGCCGTCGCGTCATTGAACACAATGGCCGTGCTACAAGTTATGCTGCAAGAAGTCACCGATTTTCTTTCTGCGGTTAGGGCTGAGCATCGGGCGTCACCCGGTGAACTTTTTACCAGCGCATCGCAGCAGGAGCTGATGGCTCTGGTGCAGCAGTGTGCGTTGACGGGGCAGATGTACGCCGCGCTGTGGGGTATTCTCCGCACCCCCGACGGAGCACGTGCCGTGAGAGAACTGCAGCTGCACAGAACAGTGCGAGAGATACAGACAGTGCTGGAGGCCATGTACACAGAAGCCTTTCCAGATGTTGAGAATTCGGCGGGTGGGGCTAGTAAAAGGGTGGGCACGCAAGAAGGCTGCACGGCAACGCAGCGATCTGCGGCACTTACAGCGACTAAAAAAACAACACCGACGAGTGCGGCTGTGGTGGAAACCATGCGACAACTTATTCCACTTGGTCAGAAGGTGCTGCAGTGTTTGCGTCTCGCATTTGTTGAGGCGGGTTCCCGCTCAGAAGGAGTAAATGAAACAGCTGGGTGCGACAAAGTGTGCCGAGGGCACCGTTAACGCCGTTTACAAATAACGCTTAAACCATCAGCCGCATGAATGGATTTTTTTTCCCTTTTTTTTTTCTTTTTATCTTTGGCCGCACCTTTTTTTTTTTTTTCCCCCTTTTGCATGTGTGCAACGTAATATCTTCTGTGTGTTGTCTGAAGCAACTTTTTATTTTTTATTTTTCTCACAATGAACGGCCAAAAGTGTATCTAGTGGCAACAACAACAAAAAACAATAGCAGCAGCGGCAGCAGCGGCAGCAGGGGAGAGGCAAACGATAGCGACACATCCACGACGAATACGGTAGCTGAAACCAAAAACAATAATAATAATAATAATAAAAGGACGCGCGCTTTAAACAATTGGAATTCTAACGGTCCTAAGTGGAGAGGAGCGAAAGGAAATCAACGACGACGACGGAAACAACAACAAGAACAACAGGAAAAGGCCGCACAAGGACCGAAAAAGTATTATCGATGCATCAGTCATGGTCATCTGTGGCATATGGGTCTTCAAACGAAATGTACAGGACGAACGATGTCGGAGTGGCTCATGATAAACCCAACGCTTCATGGAAGGATATTATGTTTTTGTTGTTTTCCATTGGCATGGTGTTTGGGCCCCATATTGGATATGTATTTCAGATTCATGAAATGAGTTCCACACGGAATGTGGAAGGATACTCACCACTTGTGTCTTTAATTTTATTAGCTAGCAATGGTATCCGTATTCTTTATTATATTGGGCATCATTTCGCCTTGGCTCTTTTGTTTCAGGCAATGTTTGCTATTCTTGTGCATACAGTGCTTCTTATTATGGTATTGCACATGACAAAAAACATCTCTAGTGGTTCAGAGGAACATTATTCCGGCGGTGGCACTTTGTCGATGCAAGAAACTACCGCTGCCACCGTTCCTGCTGTAGAGGTCAATGGAGAAGAGATCGGTACGTGGGAGGAAATTCACGTGAAGACAAACCCAATCCGATACATCTTGACAAAATTGGACGCCGGTGCATGTCTTCTTGAGAAAAGGTTTTTTTCTTTATCACCACCATCTTTTATCCGGCGGTACGTTTTATGGACATTGCTGACCACTATTGTTGTACTTCTTTATTATGCAACTATTGGGACTGTGTGGGGTGCGGCACCGGAGGTTGTTGGCTACATTGCATTAGGTATTGAAGCGTTACTTGTGCTTCCACAAATCCTACGTAACCACCGTCGACAATCCACGGAGGGGTTAACGATTATGCTTGTATTGACATGGTTTTTGGGCGATATCATTAAAGTGATTTATTTCCTTGTTGATCACCAGCCATTTCCTTTTATTCTCTGTGGGATTTTTCAGTTATCTCTTGATCTCGTGGTCATTGGGCAGCTCATATATTTTCGCATGCGGCGCAGGAGCTCTGCGATCCGAGTGATGCCAGCGACACGTGAGGACCACACGGCGGATTTGGATCCGGTCGAGGCGACTCCAAACGTGGAGAAAATATAAGAGAAGAGAAGAGTATATATATATGTGTGTGTGTGTGTATATTTTCCCTTATGAAGTGCGGACGTTGTAATCTTTTTTCTTTTGAAACGTTTCTTCTTTATTTATTTCTGTGTTTGTAAGCATGCATCTGCCTTTCTGCCTTTCTGCCTTTCTGATTATTATTATTATTTCTTTTATGTTATGGCGTGTGTTGTTAATCTTTTTTTTTTTTTTTTTATGCCACTTCTTTCTTACTCTGTTTTGTATTTTCTTGTAGGCAAATCTCCCCGACCTTTGAGCTCAGTTGGCCTCTTTCCCTATTTCTATTTCTCTCTCTCTCTCTGCGTGTGCCTGGGTGGCGACCACTTGACGTTTATGAGTCACGATATGCATCAGCCTTGCACGGAATGCAGCCTTTGTGACTCCGAGGGCCATGACGCGATGGCAGCACTTCACCGACTCGAGGACGCAGCCGCTACGCTTCACTCGGAGTCCCGAAAATTGCACCGCGCCGTTCTTGTGCAGCAACGTCTTGCGTCCAGGCTTTTGTCAGGCGATACGGATGCGGCTGGGGCAGCGGACAGTTTTTGTCCGGCGAGCACCCGCCATCCGTGGCCCGTCACCTCCCAATACGAGATGGAGGCGCAACGAAGCCGGACGTTATCCGCACAGCACCGCGATGTGGCGCTCCTGTTGCGTCAGAGGGCCGCGTTGGGGGAGTTGTGGGAGCGGCTGGTTGTTCGTACGTGGTACAAGCGAGTCGTCCTTGTGGAGTTTTACGAGCGCGTCATGACAAGGCTGAACGATTTTGATCGTCGACTCCAGCGAGCGTCATTGGCGGTGCGGCCGGAGCGGCGGTTGTGTGGTGTAACGCCAGCAGCGCTCTCCTCTCTGGAAGCCGCGGTGCGGAGACAACCGAGGGAGTCCGCAGATGCCGCAGTTGTCGCCGCGTTGAGGCCACCCGTCATGTCGACAGCCGCAGCGGCGGAGGGGGACAAAAACGACGACAACGAAGAAGACGAAAGGGATTCGTGCGTGGCGAAACGAGGAGAGGAGTTGTGGATGAGGCGACAGAGGCCGTTGCGTACTATCTTACATCTCTCCACAGCGGTTATACGTGAGTACACAGAGCAACAGACGATGAGCGGCGGCTGTGACATGGCCAATAATAACAGAGAGTACCATCACTGTGCGGGAGTCGCGGATGCATCGGTTCCTTTTACTTTGGAGCAGCTGGCAGCAGTCATGCAGCAAATCTTCACAGGCACAATTGGACGGGATTGGCCGTTTATTGGGGATTCTCCTCACGTCACTACTCAGGTGCAGTCACAGGCCGAAGTGTTGGTTCACACACTCTCTGCCTCTCCGTTGCTGCGATTTCACATGGAGCAGTGGTTCATGCGTTATTTTTATCCACAGGAAAGGCTCGGGTTGTATCGACATTTTGCTCAGGCGATCATGAACTTTATGCAGGAAAGCTCTCGTGCGACGAGGAATTTACTTGTCACTCGGCGGCAGCAACAAGAACGAGACGAGGCGCGTTGGCAGAGTATGCGTGCGAGAGCTGTGGCGGCGCTGCATCCTCTTTCCCCGGATGCCGCAGTGGCGTTACTCCCTTCCGTTGCTTCCGTCGCCAGTGAAGGCTCGCATCTTACAGACGATGCTGATCATTCCGATTTCCCCGTTGAAACAAGTGAGTGTGTGCTTTGGCTTGTGGTGAACGCACTGCGTCGAGAGCAGAAGGCGGATTCCGTTGCGTTGGATCCAACGGGCAACTGAAGAAGAAACAGACATGGTGGTGGTGGTGGTGGTAGGGAGCGGGTAAAACTGAGAATGGGCGTAAAACTCTTTGCGTGTGAGACAAAGATCAGTGATATATATATATGTGTGTATATATTGCTTTCTTCATTTGTAGACATTTTTTTTTTTTTTTCTCCCTCTGTTTCCGGTCATGACACGCATGCGTCCACGTCTCGTTGCGACCACAATTTCATTTTGGAGGTAAAAAAAAAAAAAAAAAAAAAAAAGAGAGCGAAGGGGGAAGTGAACGGTGCCTCCTCCTTCTTATATACGGATATATTTGTTTTGTTTCTTTTTTCTTTTTTTCTGTCGGTTAGTTTTTTAACGGCGAGAGGGCATCAAATGGGCTGCTCGCAGTCAAAAACAAGAACCAAGGAGTGGGGCGGCCCCCAACAAAGGAGGCGATCCCCTCTTAAGAACCCTTCAGAGAGGCATGGGGAGCCCGTCGTGGCGGACGCGGAGATTCCGCCCTTTTCCCCCGACAAAGAACTGGTGACATGGTACAACGCCCAGTTGGAGGAGGGACGGAGAATCTTCTGCGCACCCCCCGCAGCCTTGGATAAATCCCCGCTTCCGGGGACACCCGTTGGCAGCAGTCATACCAAGAAGAAAAGGAGTTTTCCAGAAAATGTGGGTAACGACGAGGCTCTGACGCTGTACCAAGTGTCACCCCTCAATCATGTCATTGGCCAAGGATACTTCAGTAGAGTAATGCTGGCGGATATGACGGTGCAAAGTACAACCGCCGATGCACTGGCAAAGAACGGCATTGAGGCACACTTACATCCCAGGAAGGATCTGTCCCATATGGCCTCACCGGGAAGCACGACGGCGAATTTACTGGACGCAACACATTCCGCCTCCCGCAAGTATCTAATTGCATGCAAGGAATATGCATTGGCTGGTGATAGCGCCTTTTTTATTTACAATCAATTGCGAAAGGAAGTAAAACGATTGACGCACTTAACATTTAATCCGTGTTTATTGAAGGTGCTTCATATGGAGGCGGTATATGAGGATTCTTCGACAACGGAGAACGATACTGGGGGGCATCTGAAACTTTTCAAGGGAATGGCAAGTCATTTTGCAGGTGAGGGGGTAGCAGGTGGTAGTAAAAAGCATGGATTCCGCAAACAGGGGGATAGAAGTTCCGCGGGTAACTCCCATAAAATACCCGAAAAGGTGCGGATCTACATGGAGTACGCCAAGTACGGCACACTGCGTAACATGCTGCTTAGCGAAATTCCTAAAAAATTTGGTAAGACGTACATGCATGAACTTACCGTGCGGGCATATCTTCGCGAGGTCCTTATAGCGCTGGCGTTTCTTCATGAAAATGACGTTGTTCATGCAGACCTCTGTGCAAAAAATATTTACATCTCGGATCACATCACAAATGTTTACACGACGTGTTTTCCTGCGTACATTGCAGATATTCCGGCCGGGAAATTTGCAACGGTGCCGGCCGAGTGGGTACGTCGTGTGTTGGCACTTATGGATCCGGCATGTATGCAGCCACAGTATTACTCGGGGGAAGTTGACAAGGTACACAACGACAGTGTCATGACACACCTCGGCTGGCTTCCATCGGTGGAAGCCTCAGGGATGCAAAACCATGGCGACACAGAAGTGGCGCCCGCAGTACCCACCACTCGTGTGGAAGAAGAACAAGGGCATCATTTCCATACCATAACATCCGGCCATGCAGTAGCATCAGCAGCAGCGGTGGCGGAAAATAGCTATAGGCAGAACAATGCAGACGAAAATGAAGCGGAGGATGACCGCTGCCGTTGGGTGGATGAGGGGGTGAGAATGTACTTGCAGGAGCACTCTTACAACGATGATGACAACATACCGCTTCCCTCCCCACTCTCAAGTTTGGAAGGGGGTAACGTCTTTATGAGTCCAAAATTAGATGGGGTCAAAATTTTGCGTAACGGTTCTTTTTCACGCTCTCCGCTATTGCCTTCCATTCCTCCGTTACTGTTAAACCAAACAGTCTCAGGTGAATATTCCCACAACACTATGAAGAGGATCATGAGCAGCATGCAAAACAGCAGTACTTCTGCTTGTCCTCAAGGCGATGAGAGTTTAAAACAAATGAACCCTGATGCATTGGCGGTTAATAGTGGACACCATGAAAAGCACGAAGGCTTCCTTGTAAGGAGCCCCTTGGCGCGTCGCTCACGGAAGCCATTGATTAAGTTGGGCAACTATGGCCGAGTCCGTCCCATCCTTGTCGGTGATAGCGATAAAGATGTGCATAAACTGGGACGTGTGACGCATTTGGCACCAGAGAACGTTCAGGGAGCTTCTTTTACTTCTGCAAGTGACATTTACGCCTTTGCCATGACATTTATAGAGTTAACAACTCCAAATGATGGTCTCTTTGCGGACCAGCGCCCCACGGACATGGAGCCGCCCCGCACTCGGCAAGGAAAAAGTGAATACGATGCAGCTTGGCTGGCCAACATTAAGCGATACCTTTTTAAAAATGATAACATAGTCCCCTTGCCGCCGCAACTCTCGGAGGAGTGTAAGGCGATGCTGCGTCTTTGTCTGCAGTATGACCCTGCAAGGCGCCCAACAGCCGTGGAACTATTGCAGTCCAAGTACTTTTTGCTGGGCCATTGGGTGAACGTTGCGACGAAGAATAGGAAGATAGAGGCGCCGTGGCTCGACACAAATTATGAAGCGGCGGCGGAGGCGGCGGGATTGCCACGGCTCCCGTCGGAGACGGGCATTTATGATGTCGGAACTCTGCTGAGGGTGAGAGCGGGGGGGAAGAAAAAACCCGCAAAGCACATTTGAGGTCGGTGTTCCTCATTGTCCGAAACAGAAACGGCAGGGGGCGAACAGGAACGGGGCACCACGGCGGTGGTCGATTGAAATCTGAGCAAAAGCGAGGAGGATGGATGTGGAGGGGAACGCGAATGAAAATAAAGCCAAAACGAAAAGGAAAAGGGCGAAAAAAATAAATAAATGAGGAAACGGAATGAATATTCAAACGGTGGGGTTGAATCTAAACAGAAAGGGGGAGAGAGAGATAGAGTGCATGCCCGTGTGTGTGTGTGTGAGAATCGGCGGGGTCTCGACAAGGCGGCAGCAGAAGAGAAGCAGGTGGCGGTTGGAGTTCTGCATGCGGTGGCGGTGTGGCGATGGCAGTGAATTACTCCAATGGCACCACAAACGCCAACAATAGGAAGAAGAAGAAAACCAACAAAAATAAGCGGGAAAACGTGACTGGGAGCCTGCGACTTTCAACGACATGCCGACGAGGGTGGAGAAGAAAAAGACGGAGGAGCATTTCTGTTGAGGAGCATCAGCAACCGGTGTGCATGCGTGTGAATAAAGAACGAGGAATGATTTCTTTTTTTCTTCTCTCTTTCTATATCTTCTTCTGTATCGACTTTGATGTTTGTGTTGTATCTACTGCAATATTGTGACGGAGCGGAGGGGGAAATGAGTTTTTTTTTTTTTTTTGTCTTTTTGTATTTTACTTTCTTAGCGTGCGTGTTGTTACGATTTCGGCTGGTGTCTTGTACGGAAATGAGGGGGGAAAGAGGAAGGGGAAAGATAGAGAAAGAGAGATCCGGGGTTTGTCATGGGCCTCTTGTCCTCTTCTGGACGTGTTTTTTTCAGCCTCTCTCTCTCTCTCTATCTTTCTTTCTTTCTCTTGTGATTATGTTTTTTACTCTTTTTTTTTTTTTTTTTTCGTTGTTGTTGTTGTATGAGTGAGGGCTTGTGGTTAGCGGGGTATGATGTAGCCTGCCAGGTGTCTCTGGTGAGCATTTTTCCCCACCCCTTCCCAAGTGACACTTCTTGTTTTTATTTTATCATATTTTTTTTTTTTTTTGAGTGAGTGAGTGAGTGTTTGTTTTTGTGTGTTTTGCAGAGCGTACGGTTTGAATGGCTACACTTCACATTTTCCACCTTTCGTAAAGGAGGGATATGCGTGGCAGTTGTTTTTTTTTTTTTTTTCTTCCTTTTTTCCTTTTTTGTATGTATGTTTGTTTCTATATATATATATATATATATGTATATATATTTGTGTGCATGTGGGCGAAGGTGTTTTTAGTAATAACTTTTATGGTTACGACGGAATTCCCATATCTTTTTATTATTTATATTTATAAAAAGATAAAGTTAGATATAATGATAGATGGATGGATAGATGGATTGATGGATATGGGATTTTAAATGTGGACTCCCTGTTGGGTATGGATTTCACTTATTTATAATGTATTTATGTATGTATGTATGGCTGTATGCATGTGTATGGCTGTATGCATGTGTATGGCTGTATGCATGTGTATGGCTGTGTGTATGGCTGTATGCATGTGTATGGCTGTATGCATGTGTATGGCTGTATGCATGTGTATGGCTGTATGCATGTGTATGGCTGTATGCATGTGTATGGCTGTATGCTGTGTGTATGGCTGTATGCTGTGTGTATGGCTGTATGCATGTGTATGGCTGTATGCATGTGTATGGCTGTATGCATGTGTATGGCTGTATGCATGTGTATGGCTGTATGCTGTGTGTATGGCTGTATGCTGTGTGTATGGCTGTATGCTGTGTGTATGGCTGTATGCATGTGTATGGCTGTATGCATGTGTATGGCTGTATGCATGTGTATGGCTGTGTGTATGGCTGTATGCATGTGTATGGCTGTGTGTATGGCTGTATGCATGTGTATGGCTGTATGCATGTGTATGGCTGTATGCATGTGTATGGCTGTATGCATGTGTATGGCTGTATGCATGTGTATGGCTGTGTGTATGGCTGTATGCATGTGTATGGCTGTATGCATGTGTATGGCTGTATGCATGTGTATGGCTGTATGCATGTGTATGGCTGTATGCATGTGTATGGCTGTATGCATGTGTATGGCTGTATGCTGTGTGTATGGCTGTATGCTGTGTGTATGGCTGTATGCATGTGTATGGCTGTATGCATGTGTATGGCTGTGTGTATGGCTGTATGCATGTGTATGGCTGTATGCATGTGTATGGCTGTATGCATGTGTATGGCTGTATGCATGTGTATGGCTGTATGCATGTGTATGGCTGTATGCATGTGTATGGCTGTATGCATGTGTATGGCTGTATGCATGTGTATGGCTGTATGCTGTGTGTATGGCTGTATGCTGTGTGTATGGCTGTATGCTGTGTGTATGGCTGTATGCATGTGTATGGCCATAACGAATATATGGAGGGGAAAAAACAACAACAACAACAAAACAAAAAAAACCCAACAAACCGTACACACACACACACAAATAAATAAATAAATAAATAAATTTATATTTTCCCTTTTTTTTTCTTTTTGATTTTTCTATTAGGGTGGATGGTAATGTGTAGGCTATTCGTTATGGATGATTCTTTCTCTTTGTCTCTCTGTATCTGTGTGTGTGTATCCGTTTTTTTCTTTTTTCTTTTTTTCTTCTTCTTACTCTTTTTTGTTGTATTCTCCGCATTATATTTATTTATTTATTTATTTCTTTGGAGGAAACAAGAAGGAACTGCCAATTCACCACAGTAATATATAAATATATACACACACATATATATATATAAAGAGACAGAGATAGGGTTAGGGTTTAGGGTAGGTATATATTTATATAAATTCATTGGGGGTTCGATTTGTTGGTTGGTTATTTCTTTTCTTACCTCATTATTACACTTTTTTTCTTTGACTCTAACTGTCATTTTTGTTTCTTTCTTTTTATTGCGGTTACCGTGACGAACTCATCCCTGTTGTGTTGTTACTGGGCGTTGCCTCGGACCACCACTGTGCATCAGCGGTAGGAACACAACGCCTCACACGGGGGTGAATTTGTTTTGTTTAATCGCCCGCTCATCCCCCAGAGCGAGCACGTGTGACTTGGCTGCAGGCCAGTGGGACTCTCATGGCGAGTGCGTTGCTGGGCACGGCGGGTTGGGTGCACAAAACTCTGTTTTCTTCTCTGCGCCTTCTCGGACGGCAGCAGCAGCAGCAGGAGGAGGAGGAGGAGGAGGAGGAGCGGGTGACGCATGAATGGAACGAGCTACCCTCACCAGCAGTGCGACCACCCGCCGGCAGTGTGGAGGTGGTGCGTGCGGGGCGCACGGCGGGTGGTGACAGCAGGTGGAGGCGCGACATATCGTCTCCATTTGTTTTTCCTGTTGCACGCCGTTCTCGGCGACGGATTCGCTCGCCAGACTCGGGCGTTTGTGCGGTGCGGGGATCGCGTGATATGACGCATCGATTCACGGAGATATTTCGTCGCTGGAGCTCCAGGAGCAGAGAAGGCAGAACCTTTGTCGACATGGAGGAAGGGACGGAGGAAGAGGTGGCAACTGTCTCGCCCTCGACCTCATGGGCGTCGACGACGATATCGGCGAGTGCGTCCACGGCCCGTTTAAATGCCTCGCGGGGCACAGCCGGTGGCAGTGTTGCAGGGCGTTCTCGCTCTCGCGCGCTGCTGGTGCCTCAAAAAAAGCAAAAACAGCCTATATCTGCGGATGAAATGCGGCGTCGTGTCATGTCAGCGCCCCTCTCAATGTGGGAGGTTCCTCTGCTAGAAGAGATGGGGCCGAGAGAGCAGCTGAACAGCCGTGAGGCAACGGGAATGGAACATGACAATCTCGAGGGGAAAGTTCTTTTTGCACCAATCGATCCACCGCAAGAAACACCGTCGGTCGAGGGCGCCTTTCTCAGCCAAAAGGACTCTCCTGGCGCCACTGTCGCCTCTCCCTCTTTTCCCCACACGACGGCAAACAGGCCGAGCACCGTACGGGAACGAGATGCCCACCAGTTGGCCCTTCACATCCGTGAAATGAGGGCGCTGTTGCCGCGTGGATACGGATGGAGAGAACCACCAGTGGGAGATGCGTCGCATGAACTAAACGAGCTGAAATTTCCGGAGGGCAAACCACCACCGCCATCGTCAGCCTATGCGATAAAAAATTCAGTTGTCTTTGATGACCTTTCTTGTGGTCTTTTGCTCTTGGCTGTCACGGAGGACGATCGGCGTGTGCGTGTTGTTTACGAGGACATGATGCATACTGTGTGCAAGGGAATAGTGGAAGACGAAATCCACAAATACATTCAACTCATGGAGGGTGTGGCTGAGCGAGCGTTGGATTATTGGGTCATCGACATTGTATTGAAGGACACGGCAGATGCGATGAAGCGAGTTTTCCCTGCATGGAGTTTATCCAGAGGTATTCAACGTCATATCAGGGAGCGAAAAGCGGTTATTTTGACTGCCTTGGTGGAAGATGAAGAGGACGAGGAGGTGTATGGACGTGTCTTGCATCGAGGTGGAAGGGACAGTAGCCAAGCTAATGGGGTAGCCGTGTCGTTCCAAAGTGGATTGTCTCTGAGTTACCAGCAAATCGCCACCTTGGGCCCGGGTCAGTGGCTTAACGACCAGGTCATCAACGCGTATCTGAGTATGATCTGTGACGAGCGCAACAATACCAGCGGTAAAGAGGAGGCGGTTTCACTGGGTACGCACTTTTTTGCAAGAGTTGAACAGGAGTTGAAGGGGGACCTCTCCAAGGTTGTGCAATTGCCTTCTTTACAGAAAGACAGCGGTATACTTCGTTGGTTACGGCGTCGTCGTAATATCCTGCAACCAGGCGCCACACGTGTCATTCTTATCCCTGTCAATTTGTCGCAAACCCACTGGGCATTGGTCGTTTTCAATTGGGAAGTTCATACATGGTTTTATTACGATAGTTACATTCGTGGCAAGGCGGCCATGACACGTGGCATTTTGGTACTTCAGCAGTTATCGCACGTGTTTTTGGAGTCTTGGCGTATTCTTTGCGACAGTGAGGGAGGAAATGCATGCCATCTAGCTGACTGCAAACTTGTGGTGGCTGAGCCATTGCGTGGGAATGAACGCTCCTACGATGGTGGCTTTGCTTTTGCCCCACAACAAAGTAATTTGTATGACTGTGGCGTCTTTGTTTGCCATATGGCCTGGTGTGCGGTACATGGTGTCGCCACGGTGTTTACTCAAGAGGATGTGACTGCGCATCGAAGGGCTTTGCTGCACGAACTTCTCTGCCAAAAAAGTCTTTTGCAGTTTCCCGTGAGCGCCTTTTTGACACCGTGATGTACTTTTGTGATTTTTTCAACTCCAAATGCAAACCCAATAACCTTGATCTCTATCCCATCTTTTCTTTCTCTCTCTCTCTCTCTGTGTGTGTGTATATTTGTGTCCGTGCATGTTTTTAGTGGTGATTGTTGTCTTTAAATGTTGTTTCTTTTTGTGCCCGGCTCAATTACTTGTTCTTCCTTTTTTTCTTTCCCTAATATATGACCATCTCACATCCCTTCTTTACTCTCGTGTGTGGAGGGTTTTGGAAGTGGCACTGTAGCGAAGGAAGCAGGGAAAAGGGAAGGAGGAAAGGGACAGGGTGAGAATAAGGATAAGAGATTGTTGTTTATAAATACATACATAAGTAAATAAATATAAATATATATATGGGACAGCGCGGAATTTTCTCCAGTGGGAACAGCTCTAAGCGAAACCCCAAAGGTACCATGTCAGGCGTTTGCAATCAACTCATTTGGATGGACAGGGTGCTCCCGACGGTGCCTAGTGATATGGAACCAACGCCGCTGCCGGCTGTGGAGGCGGCTGCTGCCCGCAACTCATGGCTTTCCAAGACGGAGTCTGCGCTTACCAATGAATGGAAGGCCGGGAAGAAACGACAACAAATGGGGGTCAGCTCCACCTCCCCACGCGTCCCGCTCAAATGTCCTTCTGTGCCATTTCCGGCCAACCGTAGTTCAGGAATTTGGCATGCCAGTGCAGATGATAGGGAAACATTGGAGATTCCTGTCGGAAAAGATTTTTTTTTAGCGCTGCGTGCGGCCTGGCGAAAAGAGCCTCCTACAGCAGAGAGGCACAAAATACCCCCTCCCACTGACCCGAGGGTTCTTGATGATGATTACATTTACTTTGCAATTGAGGAGCCTGTTGGAAGTGTCATGTCGCCACCAGTGCCGCTTTCATATATGGTTTCGGAAATCCTCGTGCCGCAATGGGCGGGAGACGGTCTGTTTGATGTACCCACGGTGCAAAAAGGAACATGAAATTAATTACTCTTGCAACATCGTAGTGGATGCTGTTTTTAATATTATTCCCACTCTTTCTCCTTGTGTGTGCTTGAAGGAAACTGAAGGGATTTATGAGGAAATGGAAGAGAAGGGAGTGACGGAGAAGCGAAAAAGGAAGGATACAAAAAAAAAAAAAAAATAAGGAGTGAGACGGGAAGCGAGGGCGAGGGAAGAGAAATGTAAGGGAGCCGGCATCAGTAGTCAATAAAAAGAGGAAAACAATGAAAAGGAAAAGGATTTTATTAGGATTATGTTTGTGTGTGTCTGCAGAGTGGAAGGAAGTGCGGCTACAAGGGGGCGTTTGGCTTTTCAGTCTCGTTTTTTTTTTGTTTTTTTTGTCTCTTGTCTTTTGGCGTGCTGTTTGCCTACTTTGCCCCTCACTCTCCGCCGTTGTATTATTATTATTATTATTAGTTCCTTTTTTTTTTTTTTTGTGTGTGTTCCCTCTGTGGTTTGCGTGCTTGCTGCCAACTCTTCTTCCTGTTGGTGGTCTTTGCTGCGTCTGCCGGACTTTTTTTGCCTTTTCTTTCTGTTTCTCTTTCCTTTTTTTTTTTTTTTTTTTTTTCCATTTTCCGTGTATGCATATGTTGCTTTGTGTGTATGTATTCTGTGTGTATATTCGTCTATGCTGCTTGGGTGAAATGTTATGTGCGTTTTATTTTGCCCGGTAATTGAATTTATTGCGGTGTGATGTAGGCATTTCCTCCTTCTCTTCTCTTCTCTTCTCTTCTTTTTTTTTTTTTTTTTTTTTTTTTTTTTTTGCGGACGGATGCTTACGGACGGACGGACGGATTTCTATCTCTTCTTCTCCTTTCTGCTCCTGCTGTACTTTTTTTATAGTCGTTTGTTCTCTCCGTGGCTTCCCGCTGCAAGTTGACGCTTGAACCATCTGTAAAAGGGGAATAAACAACCCGACATGCGCACGGAGAGAGCGAGAGAGAGAGAGAGAGAGAAAAAGGGACACTGCCACGGGGTTCACACAGGAAAAGGGAGGGAGGGATCACAAGAATGTTGTCCACAAGGGGCCGCCAGGAGGGAATGAAAGAGGATTGAGAAATGGGGTTAGGGAGGAAAAGAAGTCCGAGGGGTGGAATCAAAAAGAAAACTCGCATCAAACAATTTAATACAATACAATAAATATAAATGTTGACTGCGTGTAGACATTACTTTGTGTTTTTCTTTTCCTTGCCATCTACCCCTTCCTGTTTATCTATTCATCTCTTGAGTTTGTGTGTGTTGTGTGGGTGAAGGGATATATACATATACATATATATACATTTTGCTTTTGTACACACACGCAGTACATTTGTTGATGAATCCAACGCTTAGGAAAAGCAATGGCGGGGCGTCTGCGGATGAACCGAGCGCGGAGGGGGTGAGTCTTAGCAGTCATACCAACGGTAAGAGCCACAGCGGTGGCTCGCGTCATGGCCATGGCGGTGGTGGCAACATCAGAGGGTGCAGGATGTGCCATGGCGGCGGCGGAGGCGGCGGAATGGCGTCTTCGGCAACGGCGAACGTGCCTCCGATGCAGCAACAGCAGCCAAGATTGGCGCCATCACACCCACAATGTCTGTCGCGTGTGTTCATGGCGGGGGTTAGCGAGGATGAAGGGCCTCCAACGGTGGTAGCTGTCAGCGATAATGCCAACCCCACAAACACCACTGGTAGAGTGGACAGCCTTATGGATGCGGCCGCAAATGCGCATGATGGCCAAAATGTCGTCTGTGAGAATGAGGATGCCAGTCATGCTGCAAGTATTATTCCTATGAAATCATCAACTGATGCCGATCCACAGCGCGGGGACGGGAGGAGGCGACGACGACAGTGGTGGTGGTGGCGACAGCAACAACGCCGGCGACGGAGGCGCAGTCAAAGTCGAATGGAGCAACGCTTGCTAGTAAATAAGTGTGATGTGGGAAATCAAGGGAAATTTTATCCTTGGCCGTATCGAAGTACGCTTTACCTGAATCCTCATGTCCGTTGTGTGGAGAGTAGTGGATTTTCGTACAATCGAACCTTCAAGGAATTACTACTAGCGCAGGATGCGGAGCCGCCAGAGGCCGATACACCTTGCTTGGGGCCCACCGCCGCGCCGTTATGTGTACCGCAGCTCCCAGAACTCAATTTGGCGACAGGTCTGGAAAGCGAGGAGGATTCCGAGTTGAATGCCGGCTGTGGCAAAGAGGGGTCGACAGCTAGTTCGCCGACGATCACGTTCACACTGGATGGTGTAGCGACACCCAAGACCTTCGCGGCAATCAAACTACAAGGAAAGGACGTCGGAAACATTTCGCTTCCTGCGTCGTGTTTATTGGGAGGGGGCACCGATGGGCGCCAAATACGATCATCACTGAGACGACCACCGCCTGCCATACGCATAAAGGAGCCGCCACATCAAAAAATTCTTCGTAGTTACGTGAATGGATGCTTTTCTTTTTATCAAACGGAGGAGGCCAAGCAGGAGTTCTTGGAATTGTGTAGGGAGATTTTGGCGCAGGCCCGGCCGATTTTTGAGTCGGAGCCGCTGTTTCCACGTTTGGTAGCACCCACTTTTGTCTTTGGGGATATTCACGGCAACTTTGAGGATCTTGCCTTTTTTCTTCGTAATGTTCTTGTATTTTCCGACCTGCAACTCACTCCCGCAAACATCCTCTGCCTCGGGGACTACGTGGACCGTGGACCGTACTCACTCGAATGTCTCATTCTGTTGCTCTCACTGAAGATCAGTCATCCGTCGAAGGTGGTGATGCTTCGTGGCAATCATGAGGATCGTGTGGTATGTGGCGACCTGTTAACCTATGGATCCACTTCTTTTCTTGCACAATGTGAGGCGTTATACGGCGTGGATGAGGGGCGGAAATTGTTCAAGGAATTGACGGCTCTTTTTCGCCACTTCCCTCTTGCTGCAGAACTCATCATTCCTGCAGTAGCAAACAACGGTGGCAACAACAGTAATACTACCAGTAGTAGTAATAATAATAATAACAATAATAATAATCATAATCATCATTATCATAATAATAACACCAATTCTCCCGGTGATTTGGCTGCAGCTTCCGTTTCAAGGTCATTGGCACCACAGGGTCGACGGAGGACCCATGAGGAGCGCGTGTTGTGTACCCACGGTGGTATCCCGCGCTTTTTTTCCCCGCCTAAGGAGGATGACAGCCTTGCGTTTCTGCGACACGAGGACTTTCCGCGCATGTTGACTTTGTTCCCCAATAATCCCTTTGTGAGGGATGATCCGGAGGCCCAGGTGGAGCTGCTAGGGGCCGTGGGACAGACAGGTGTCTCGCATGCGTCATCAACGACTGCTATAAGCGAAGCGATGTTGCGTAAAGCATGGTTCGTTGCATTTGATCTTATGTGGTCTGACCCCACAATCCATGACCCCGGCGATGATGATAATGAGTCCTCTGCAACTGCCTTGTCTGGAAACGGCCATGCATCTATCAATGAGTGGGGTTTTGGTGTGAACAAGCGCGGGAGTAATGTGCTCACGTTCTCTGCCAAGGCCTTAGAGACCTTTTTGCAGGCCCACCAGTACAGCATGTTGTTCCGCGCCCATCAAGAGAAGGCGCATGGGCTGCGTCTTAGCAAGAGCACCAAGGTATTGACCATCTTTAGCAGCTCCAACTACCTTGGGCACGGCAACGGTGCGGGGTGTGTGCTGGTGACTGCCGATGGTGAAATTCAGCTTGTCGAGAAGCTGAGTGAGTGATGATTTTTTTATTTTTTTAAATTTTCCGGGCCCTTTGAAAGTGCAACGCAGGAAAGAAAGTGACAGTTGGGGAAGAAGGAATGAGTGTGGTTGTCTGCATGTGTATCCATTTCTGGACCAAAGAAAAAACACACACACATGCACACAGGCAAAGGCCAATAAATAATAATAAATAAAAAAAAAAAAAGAGGCGTAAAAGCAAAAAAGATGTTCAAAATGATGCGGAATGAAAAGCTAGAAAAAGAACAAAAACGACAAGAGATAAATAAATTAGAAAGGAAGCAAGAATGTGGGTATATACATTATACATTTATAATATTCATATTCCGCCATTTGGGATGGCGGTGCTTGTAGGACGAGGGGCGATGGGCTTCCCGAGGCGTTCCTTTTCCCTTTTTTCCTTCGGGAATTTTTCAAGAGGAACCGGGCAGCGAAGATGACTGCGTAATTTATCAGCGAGTAACAATCAATCAAACGTAAATAATTTGTTAAATATCACCTCCGTAGGATTCATGACTGGAGAGGGGAGGCATGCGGAGTGGTGGGTAACGGGGCGATATGGCAGAGGAGGGAGAGGAGGATAGGGATCAATCGAAGTGATGATTAACGCACATGATCTTCGCGTCCCTCTCGGCTACGTGCCCTTGTAGTTTCAAAGGACGCGTACGCACACAGGGGGGAATGCAAGACAAACGCTGGCGAGACACACACGCACACACACACAGAGAAACAGACAGACGAAAAAGAAAAAGAAAAAAGAGCAACAACGATAAAATTAACCGAAGTGTGCATCTTTTTTTTTTTTTTTTTTTTTTTTTAGGAGGGGAGATCTTGTTGTGTTGAGACTTGTCACTGCAAATATTATTGACGGTAGGGCACTTTTTTTTTTTTTTTGTGTGTGTTGTTGTTGTTGTTCTATTCTGTTTTCTTCCTGTGGATTTTTTTTTTTTTTTTTTTTTTTTTGCGGGGTTTAGGGTTCTCTGTGCTTCACCGCTATCATCTGAGCAGGCACACATATGAATGATGTATGGAACTAAAAGTGCTGTAAACCGAGTTTGAGTTACCGGTGGATCCGACAGGGGTGGCATGAGTAAGTCAAATAGCACGGGATGCAGAGAAAAGGGGAGAGTGAGAGGGAAAGGAAGAGGAGGTGCCCCGGCGTTTAGTTTTGATTGGTGTATTTCTCTCTCTCTCTCTGTGTGTGTGTGTGTGTGTGCTGGGGTCTCCTGTAATAATTTCTTTTTTGCAGACGTACATTTACACACGCGCACCTCTTTTTTTTTTTTTTTTTTCTCTCTTTTTCTTTTTTACTCTTATATCACTTCTGCTCTAAGAGGCGTCTTTTTTTTTTTTTTTTTGTTGTTGTTGTTGAGAAGAGGAGGCAGAAAGTGAGGGAGAAATTGAGGTGCCTTATTTAACATAAGTGGGCACGTGATTGTTTTTTTTTTGTTGCATGGGATGGAAAGAAAGGACAGTCCAACGAGCGTTAGGCAATTAAACAGGGAGAGTGTGCTGTTGCTGGAGTGAGAGAGAGAGAGTGTGTGTGGGTGGGAATAGAGATGTATGTGGGAATATGGGCTGTTTATTCTGTTGTACCCAAAAAGCTTTTTTTTTTTTTTTTTTTTGGTTTTTGAATTCTTGATTACATGTATTGTTTGAGTTGTTGTTGTGGCTTTTTTTTTTTTTTTTTTTCGTCAATGAATGGGAGGGGGAGCATATAAGTGTATATATATATATATATCTGCATGTATTTGTGTGTCTGTTTTCTTCTTTGCATTACAGTCGTCTTCTCCATGTTTTTTTTTTTTTTTTTTGTTTCGATTGTTTGGAAGGATTCTTTTTTTTTTATTTACTTTTTTTTTTCCCTTTTTTTTGTAAGGGCGTTTTTATTTTGCCTGAGGCCGTGTGGCGTGACGTGTGATTCATTGGCCCAGGGCTTCGTGGCAAACAGGAGTTGGGGGCGGGAACGAAGGAGGAGAAAAGTTGTCGTCGCAGGCGAAGTTGGAGGCGCGAGCGGTTTTGTGGAGGGTGGGGAGGGAGACGAGAGGAGGGAAAACTCGGTTGGGGAATCCTCTGGACGTAAATTGAAATACATACATTTATATACATATGCTTCCTGGGCTACGAACACTGCATTTTGTGGAGGACGTTGTAGTGGACCGCCTGCGGTGGTGGCGCTCTCAGCATGAGGCGATGATGGCAACAACGATGAGGTCCACCGCACACGGCCAACGGCTCTCTTCATCTCTTTCCGTAGCAACAGAAGCACCGCGGCCGCGGGCACACTCTGCCCTGCCGCATGGCTTCTCGACTCACCGTCGTGAGCGACTCTTGACGACGTTGCCGCCGCGTGACGTCTTGGCATTGCGCCACCCACCGATGCTTCTCTTTCTGCGGGGCGAGGCCACCGCGGAGCAGCGCGACAGCGTGCAGATGGCGTTGCGTGAAGTGGAAGGAGCGGTGTGGATTGCACGGCTGCTGCCGATGGAGCGCATCT